TATTCAGATTGGCTAAGTATGGCAGCTATCATAGCCTGGGCCTGGGCTGACTCAGTGAACCCTAGCAAAGTCAAACAGCAACACAAAGTCAAACTAATGACCTTCCAAACATCAATGAAAAGGAGTGGATATTCAGATTGGCTAAGTATGGCAGCTATCATAGCCTGGGCCTGGGCTGACTCAGTCAATCCTTTTTTTTTTTTTTTTTTTTTTTTTTTTGTGACTCAGTCAATCCTACCCCTGGCGCCGGCAACTTTGAGAAGTTGTCAAGAACCTAGAGCGACCTTCCATCCTTTTGTTTAAACCACCAGTACCTCCGAGCCTGTTTTTGCCGACCCTGATTTTTGCTGCGCGCCGTCTTTTTCCGAGGCCATGTCCCGCGGAACCTCGCAGCCCGTGTTGAATTTTTTTTTTTCCGGAAACGGTAATGTTTCCACATGTGGCCTGGACTGGACCGGTACAGTCCACCCGACGGACACAGGTTTGGGCGGGGTCCCTGTGGCTGGTGGTATGTTTCGTGGCCTGATTTTTTTTTCTGTTTTTTTATTTATTTATTTGTATACCATTTTTTTTTGTGCGACCGGCGTGTCGGTTCGCCGGCGACCGGTTTCGTGGAACGGACGGTGGTCGTTCGCGTGGTGGCCGAAGGATGGGCAACAACGTTTGCCATCGCCGCCGACGCGTCCCGATCTGCCACGTGTGTGTGCGATCCACGTGCCGGGCGACGTGATGTTAGCCCGTCGATTGGCTGTACATACAGCATCACACTAGTCTCTCTCTCTCTCTCTCTCTCTCTCTCTCTCTCTCTCTCTCTCTCTCTCTCTCTCTCTCCCAAACTCTATCTCCCAAACGCACTGTTCATCCAATCGACGTGCCGGGTGACGTCATGTTAGCCCGGCGATTGGCTGTACGTACAGCATGGCAGTACTCTCTCTCTCTCTCTCTCTCTCTCTCTCTCTCTCTCTCTCTCTCTCTCTCTCTCTCTCTCTCACTCACACACACACACACACACACACACACTGCCAGTGCTTTCTCTCTTTCTCCGTCACACACACACACTCACACACACAGTCAGTGCTCTCTCTCTCTCTCTCACTCTCTCTCTCTCTCACACACACACACACACGCACTCACTGTCAGTGCTCTCTCTTTCTCTCTCTCTCACGCGCTTGTTTATCTACCCGCCGATGCATTCAGCGATCGATTTTTTTTGTTTTTTGAGGGGAAAGCGATCGATGGCGGGTCGGGATCGCGAGGGGGAAGCGATTGATGGTTTATCTGCCCGCCAATGCATTCAACGATCGATTATTTTTACTTGTTTTTTGGGAGTTGGGGTCGCGAGGGGAACGGGATCAGGAGGATGGGGGGTCGCGATCGCGAGAGGAACGGGTCGCGCGGGAGAGGGAGGATGGAGAGTCGGGATCTCGAGGGGAACGAGATTGGGGAGAAGGAAGGTTGTGAGATGCACTTACCTCCGGGTTGTTCCCCCTCCTTCACCGGGGAAAATCCCCGGGGCCTCAAAGGAAAGGGGGGCAGTGCCCAGAGATTCTTCACAATCTCCACGTGTCGAGCGAATCTCCTCGTTGGTGCGGCGCACGGCCGTTGTCCCTCACTATCGCCTCTGTTATACCTGCTCTCCTTCTTCCCTTCGTCGCTTGATGCCCTTCTTCGTTCGACGGCCATTCTCGCTGCAGACGAACGCCAAGATTGTAGTCTCCCTCATGTAGTGTCTAGATTTGGCACCGCTTGCCTTAAGGTTGTATTCCTCAAGCAAACTCACGACTTTATCAAGATCCTGCATATGCTTCCAAACAAAACGCCTTACACCTGGCAAAACTTCGTTACTTTCCTCTCTGGTCCCTTTTACTGCGAATTCGTCGATATATGGATGAGTGATATGGGGGTTGACTGTCTGCATGGCTAGAAAAGCCTAGAATCATATGTCGCTGAACCATTGCCACCGCATTAGTGCATCCTTGCGGAGCTACATTCATGTGGATCAGTCCTCGAGGCGTATGCATCGTTGTCACTGGTCTGTCTGGCGGATAGATCGGAAACTAGTCATATCCGGAGTAGAGGTCTATAAGCGAAATTATAGGTCTCCCGACGCATGACTCTGACAG